CGACATACGACTGATCGGACTGCCGACTGATTGTATATACCGTCCATCGTCATCGTCTTTGCGTGTCGTTATTATTTTTCATCAAAAGAGTATTTAGCTATTGGAAAGATGGCCATGTTTCTTGAATGAAGTACTTCCTAGCGTATTTTTCTTATTATCTTAAAACAAAGTAACTTGCACTTGCTTGAATGAAAATAGATTCAAGAGAAATTTTCGAATTTTTCAAAAGAACCAGTTTTCTTGAGTTAAGAGAGTTTTTCTTCAGGCAAAATATTTTCTTTTACACTAAAATAAATTCTCTTGCCACTAATTTTTTTTTTCAAGAACGATGACGACTTTAGTTCAAGTCTATCTTTTTTATCAGTGCATTAGCAACACGCCAAGCCACGCCATCTCACCCACGTGTTGCGACGTAGTAAAAGGTGTACACATTTTTAACAGGCCACGTGATAACACGCTTATTTGATTCTCTAATATTTTTATTACAGTTACACAAATATCAGTATTGACACGTTAGAAACCCCTTGACAATCCGAAAATTGATTCTACTTAAATCAAGGAAAATCTTTTATTTTTCTCGGTCGTAAGTTCTGAGGAACATCTTCGAGTGTCTTAGACCGTTGGAGGATTTCAGGTTACGGATGGAGTCCTCCAGGTTCTTCAGTTCCGCTTTAAGTTGGTTTCTGCTTGGAAAGCGGAACAGTTAGTGGAGTGTTCGCTCCTTTTCTAGCTAGATCGTTTGCCTTCTATCACTTGGTGAGCGGATACCCACAGTAAGAGGACTTTCTTTGCCTAATTTGTTCAGCACTAGTTCTCTAAGCATTCTTTGACCAACTTCGAATTTATAGTTACTGAGTTGATCGCTCTTAGTTTCCTGTTTTCGATAGTTCCTATCTAAGATAAATTGTAGGCATCTTTTGATAGCGTAAAACTCTATGTTACTGATAGTGAACAGCACACAGTTACAGACCGACTCTGTCAGTAACAATGGCGTCGCCAAAGGGAGGGCGTGGCCCACCCTGGATTAGCTCGGGCCCACTAGTGGCCCTCCCGCGCAATGTCCAGAAAATATACCGTCAACTTTCATCAATTTGTAATAAAATCATATAATGCAATACCTAATATAAAAATATCTCCAAAAAATCCTATATGGGTATTTCACCACTGCAAGAAAATCTACAAAATAAAATAGTTATTTTTTGTAAACACTTCTGCGTTAATCCCAAACGGAAACTACTTGTCAGAAGTTAGATTTACATATATACAAATTTGCCTAACGAACAAAAAAACGCTTAAAGTTTCGGAAAGTTTATCTCTTTGCGTCGTCGGAAGCAAAAAAATACAAAAAATAAAGAAAAAAACTATTAAATAATTTTAAAATATTTAAATTCAGACAGAATTTTAAAATATTTAAATTCAACTATTCGAGAACACTTACTTAAAACAGATACGTCTACAAAAATCGTTGACGTTCTGTTAAAATGACATTATATCAAGTTAACCTTCAAAATAAACAATTACTACCTGATAACAATTACTTAATAAGGTAAAACCAAAAAGCCCTAAACTTTCTGCATGATTATTTTTAATTGGGCTCGTTCAGGGACGGTCAGCGGCTGAGTGGCTGAGTAAGCGATTTCCCTAAACGGTCTATTCTGACGAACAGCAACAGTCAGCCAACTGCAACTGTGCAAAATTCTCAGCGGTAAAATTTACGCTGAGACAAGTCAGCCTTAATCTATTTCCTTATCTCTGGTCTACTAATGTAAAATAACTTTAATTTTCTCAGTTTATTATTTACTTTTTATGGTTTGTTGAAGTTTGTAGTCAATCGTAGTTAATCGAATCCTTAAAAAATAGGAGATATTTGTTGTCAAAAAAGTTACAAAGCAGTAGGTTAATCTAAAAAGTTCGAAAAAGTCAGTTGTAAATAGAGATCGAAGAAGTTCAAGAAATAAAGAAAATTCAACTTGATTTCCATCTTAAATCGAATTTTCTAAATACCATGAAATTAAAAAAAATACTACTTTCTGAAAAAATCTAAATCACCATAAAACTTTTGATTGTAATTATACCGTCTGATCGAAAAATAATTGCGTCCAGTTGGCTTAAAAATGACGATCGATAATATTCCCGATATAAGTTTACTTATAAAATAACAGCAATCTTCACCTCCACACAGGGGTGGATGGACCATATGGGAAAACGGGAAAATTCCCGGTGGGCCGGTGGAAAAATGGGCCGGTGGGCCGGTCCCGATCAGAGCTCAAAAAAGATTGGATTAGCAAAAATTAAATGGTTAAGCTTCTAACTAAAGTGACATAAGATCCTTAGTGACTCCATAGTTATCCTATTATAACTAATCAATTTTCATCAGTATAATCGTCAGTTGCTTTTAAACACCAATTTGTAAAATAACTATTGTAAAATGTCTTTCTCTGGGATACTTATAACTTTAATAATCATCTGTTGTTTGTTCGGTTTAAAAATTTTTTATTATACAAGGTGAGTCAATAAATGCAAATATTTGCAGGGGTGATAGATCTTAATAAAATGAACAATGATATATTTTCTTTATCGAGTTTCAAATAAGTCCAATCGAGTTATTAAAGTTGGAAATTTAAAAAATAGAGTTTTAAAAAAAAATTTGAGCCACCTTAATTTTTCGGTATTTGCATCTCTTTTAGTGCCGTAATATCAGAGATTAAGAAACTATACCGTGGAAAAATTTGCGGTGAACAGGAAGTTCGAAAAAGTTTTCTAAAATATACAGGAAACTTTAAAAGAAAATGCTCGATTTTTAACATCTTTTTTTGAAAAAAAACTCATAGACGTGTTCCTGGGGTCGAAATATACCACCCCTGAAAATATTTGCACTCACCCTGTATAGTTTTACCCAATATTCTTTTATTAATAACTAATAAATATGACTGACTGGCAGCAAAAAAAAAGAATGACTAGCATTAGGTAAATTTAAATTGTCTGGATCTAAATGTATACTAAGAATACGGTAGCGTAGATTGACAACTGGGGGCCTCGGGCCTCGGTGCAATATTTTTCGAGCTCCCCTTTGTAAAAAGGTAGACGAATTTGACGCGAACTCTACGGTTGACGGAGAAAACATATCTATGCTTGTCTTGAATTGGGGACGGACTAAAAGCCAAGTATGAGAACTAAAAGCCAAATCTAAATTGTTGTTTAAAATGTTGCTAAAATGAATTTGCTACAAATTACTGAGACAGCAGAGAAGAGTTAAATAAGGTTTAAACTAGATTAGATAATAAAATATTAATATGTCTCGAAAAACAAAATATTCTTATTATGGACTGTAACATAGCATTACATCAGAAAACATTTATATCCACTGCCTAGGTGTTGCCTAGGTTTTTTTCGTTAGAGTCATGGCATTATCAAAGGCATTATCATACAAGATGCCAAATGTACAAAAGTATAGAGGAAAAGTTTCGTGATAAGAAATATACAGGGTGTCCCACAAATAAGTGCAAGTATTTAAAGGGGTGGTAGATCTTGATAAAAGAAACATATTTTCTTTTTACCGTTTTTCAAATTAGTCCAAAATAAGGGAGTTATTTTACTTTGAAAATTTCCAAAAAAAAAAAGTTTTTTTGCTAAAATTTTGAGAACCACTCGATCTTTTCTGGATTTTATTTCTTGTAAATTTAATCTAATACCTATGTTGCCATATTATCCAGAAATAATGTTTTTTAACTAAAAACTAAAAAAAATCCAAAAAATTTTTCAAAAAATTTCAAATTTTCAAAAAAATTTTTTTTTCGCGAAAAGAACCTCTTCGTGTTTCTGGGGTTGAACTATACTACCAATACTTGCACTTATTTCTGGGACACCCTGTATAATAACCTAAAAAATGCTGCAGTTTTAATGGCGACCGCGGTTCATTCAGTTAAAAACACACGTGTACACGAGGAGGCTACTGCTGTAGCAGAACAAAGAGAATTTCTTTCTACAATGTGTAAGAAAGTATATGCCCGAAAAGCTAAAAGTAATGTATTTCACAGAGGATTGGGTCAGCTAAACTGAATGAATCAGGAAGTCTTAAAGTTTCTCAAAATCGTAGCCTGTTCAATATCAAATTACCGTTATCGATAATGGAAATAAAGCAGTAGAACTTTGTAAAACCAAGCCATTTTGTAGTAAAAATTCAGATGTCCGACCCAATATTGGCCTTTACGAAAATTTTGATCAAGACAATTTTTTTTTTAAACCGGAGGCAAAAGAGCTATTTCGCACGAGCGAAATATACCCTTACTTATATACAGGATGTGTGCTATCCTATATACAGGATAAGTGCAAGTATTTTAAGGAGTGGTAGATCTCGATAAAAGAAACCTATTTTCTCTCCATCGTTTTTCAAATAAGTCCAAAATAACGGAATTATTTTACTTTGAAAATTTCCGAAAAAATAACTTTTTGCTCAAATTTTGAGAACCACTGGATCTTTTCTGGATTTTCTTCCTTGTAATACCTATGTTGCCATATTATCAAGAAATTCTGTTCTTTAAAAACCTCATAGGCGTTTCTGGGGTTCAACTATACTACCAGTTAAAATACTTGGACTTATTTCTGGAACACCTTATATTAATAAATAAAATATGTTTCTTCGTTATGGTTATTCTGTTTTTGTGGATTTGGGCCGGTTGTCTGTTTTTCCCGGGCCGGTTTCCACTTCCCCATCCACCCCTGACGTCGTTTTTTTTATTGTAGGGTATTTACACTTTTTTTTTAGCTCTTCATAAAAACTAATAAACAACGATGATATGGTAAATTGTCTGGCCCACCCGAATAAAACCTGGCCCCAGTACTGGCCTACCTTGAAAAAAATATCTGGCGACGCCATTGGTCAGTAAACAATAAAAAACATCATTAGAAGGAAAGAGAGACAGATACAATATTTTCATCCTGTGCCAGTTTTTATTGACTCAAAAGAGTACGAAAATATTTCTCTCTTCTCTTTTAACCCAGATAAGGCCAAAACTATTAATTTTCAAATTAGTTGATATTATGTTTTTTTTAGTGCTAAATATAATATACCAACGATGTAGTAGGCGGTTTTTTCAAAAATATTTGCAGGTTTTTTCAAAAACAGGTGTTCTTTTAAAAGGACGGTGGACAAATACACAACCTTCTTTAAAAAGCGTTTATTAGAAAGCAAATGAATATAATAGAACAAAATGTTAAGCTGTATGATAACTCACAAAACAATTTTTAGGATGTAATGCAATTTCACATTTCTGACAGGTGAAATTACATTTTTTATGACAAATACCACACCTTGTCTGTTTTTCTTGATAAGTAACTAAATGGTCTAGTCGGTCATATCTCGAATGCTCATGTAAATTAGCAGAATTGCGACTAGGGCCTCTTTTCGATGATTTTTTAAAAGTTTCTAAAATACCGAGAGCAACTGACTGCCTGAAATGTAAATGGTCCTTTTTGCCATTACTTTCTCGATAAAGCTGCCACGCGTTATGTAAAGCCATATCTAGACAGTGGCAAATTAGGGGAAAATACCATTTTTTTCCTCTTATTGACGTTCTATATAGACTAATGTTCTGGTCCGCTCTATCAACCCCTCCCATATTCTCGTTATATTTTTTTATAGCATGAGGTTGGGGAACATATACATTTTTCTTCTCTTTCTGAGAAAATCGTTTTACAGGTAAAGTTGGCATAACTTTGGTGGCATTTGAAGCAATCGTGACAACACTATTGTCATGCCACTTGCATAAGATTATTTTGTTATCATCTGAAGTACAAAATTCAAATAAACCTCTATCTTTTTTTTTCAAAATGCTAGAATGAGTCAAAATGCACTCTTTGCCTAAACGATTTTCTCTGATAGTTCCAGTTCCCTTCAAACCCATATCTGTCAGTTTTTCCAACAAAGCAAGTGTAGTAAAAAAATTGTCAAAATATAAGTGGAACGGAGTATTGGGAAATCTTTCTTGAAGAACATGAGCAAACTGTAGAATTACACTAGCTCCAAGACCTAATTCTTTATATTCATCCGCAATAATTGTTGTCGAACCCTGGTAAGGCTCAAACCATTCAACATAACCAGTTTTCGTAGTACCGGCCCAAAACTTATAACCCCATCTGATGGGCTTTCCTTTGATGAACTGCTTGGTTCCATGGCGTCCAAAATATGGAACCATACTTTCATCTACACTATGATTCTCCTGAAAGGGTGCAAAGTCGATAAATCTTTTATTTAGTGCGTCAATAAGAGGGCGAATCTTAGCAAACTTATCATTAGTATTCAACAAATTATTATTGTCGCAGCAATGTAAATTTTGTATAATATACTTGAACCTATTCCTAGATATGGCTTCACAAACAAGTTGGTTATTTGTATCTTTGGATTTCTCCCAATACATTTCACGCCTAGGATGACCAGAATACCCACTAAGCAAGAGTACCCCTAAAAAACAGCGCATTTCATTGCCAGAAATGTCTCCATTGCGGTTATGAGACGTAGCATATAGATTGCTATAATGCACCAACATAGCGATGATTTCAGAGTCAAAAAATAAATGAAATGCCTCTAAAGGCGTGTAGGATATTTTTGGTCCATAAATATCATTCCACAAAGAAAAATCTGAATTTATGTCTGTTTGCAACCATTTGTAAATGCGCTTCTTTTTTTTCGAGCCAGTTTCTTTAGTACGGAAAACGGACAAAGGTAAATCATCTTCACTATCCCAAAGATCGCTCTCTAGTTCCGGAGTTTGAGGTTCCGGAGTTTGAGTACGTTCCTCAAAACTTACTTGTACTTCGGCACGCAGCTGACTTCCAGGTAAGTTGTTCATATTCACGGTCTCTTCATCCCCGGAATCTTCATCTGTGATTTCTTCATTTGCATTCTCAGGAGGCAATATGTAAATATTATTCGGTATTTCTGCATCGAGATTTGCAATTTCCTCCAACAACTCATGGAATTTCAGTGGTCTTTTCCAATACCTAAAAATGTAGTTTTGTTATAGTAGATTTGGCCACTGTCCTTTTAAAAGAACATGCAGATATTTTCAGTTCCAACTGTCGGCACATATTTCACCATAACCAAGCTTTTACATGGGAACGTTTTTTAGATGTTTATTAACAAAAACCAACGTTCTAATTGATGACAAAAATACAGTAACATACATAGGACTTACCTCGAATCATCCATGTCACACACTGAAAAAAGTCGAACTCAATAAAGTGTAATTTTCACACACTAACAAGTGAAAATATAACATGTAGTGGTTAAATTAACGGAATAATATTATCTCTAAACAAATTCATAATGTGCCATCTGCATTCGAGGAGTTAAAGTTGAGTATTACAGAAATCTGTAACTTGGCTTTTAAAAGGACGGTGGCCGTATCTGGGTTAATTATAGCTCGACGCAGTATATTTTTGGACACAGTAAAAAATTTGCAAAATTAAACCTCCCAATAATGACGAAAAACTGACGCAGATGCAATGAAAATCGTAACGAAACATTCCATTTGTCACTGAATATTTTAGTTCATTTGTGCATAATAACAGGTGCTTGGACCTAGTATCTAATTCGCAGATTTTTCCGTTATAGTCTGTCTGGCTATTTGTTTTTTTTTTCGCAGAGGAAAAAATAGATTCATCATTCATTTATCGGTGGAAAACCCACTCTTACTTACCAATTTAATTTTGTTGAGTTATTTTTAAATTTATATTTAAACATTTTTAGTTATAATTATAGTTTTTAATATTTTAAATTTACAGTCGACAAACTCTAGACAAATCTTATTGTACAAAACGAAGTAAAACAAAAAAAAATATTAGGTTACCACTTATTTGTTAAGAAAGTATAGAATATAAGCATATAAGCGAACGTATAGTATATAAGCATTATAATATAATGATATACAGGGTGGTCAGAACTGTATTCCGGAAACTTCGGCAGCATATTCTACAGATAAAAAAAAGTAAAAAACATCTTATAAATCTTTGTCCTAAAATGCTTGGTTTCGGAGATATATTGGGTGTAGAAGTTTCATTTTTATTTCGATTTTTTTCTAAATAATTTCTGAAGTAACCTCAATATTTAGATGAAATTTGGTGTCTAAGAGTTTTATGATATGAGAAATTTGATTTTGATGTCAATATGACTCCTACTTGTAGAGGGCGCCATCTACATATTTTTAACTAGTTTGGTTTATAATAATAACTTTTCGTCCGTACTTGTATAAAACTACTAAGTAAAAAAATATACATTTACGACGTCTTTAACGTAAAAAAGGTCTCTTAATAAAAATCGTTACGTGTAATAGTTCTCGAGATATTTGAAATCGAAATTATTATAATACCTATCATCATTTACATCGATTAAACATGTTGACTAAATAGTTAATATACTGAAATCATAATATTTAAATATTTTTGCATTAAACGGTCTACAGCATTTTGATATCAAAAGAAAAAAAGTCAGTGGTGCACATGTTTTTCTTTTTGAAAAATATTCCTGTGATAACCCATATGCACGTTCCTGATGAATCTAACAACACTTTTTTAGCATTAAAATGTGTAGCACTTATAGTAACTTTTACCCTCAAAATTTCATTCGAATCACTAAAAACACTCGAAAAAAAATTATAATAAATCGAAAGATTATTAAGACTTTAACACCCTGTAGCTATGAAACAAAGCAGAATGGGACCTATGTTGATATGAAAAATAAATCTTATTTTTACATGAAAAATCTTCCCACGAGAGATGGCACATGTTTTTTGAAACATCCTGTATATCCAGAAAGTATCCTAGAAAAGGAGCGAACACACTCCACTACCTGGACAAGAAACGTTACGCTTCCCAAGTGGAAACCAACTTAAAGCAAAACTCAAGAACCTGGAAGACTCCATACGTAACCTGAAAAGGGAATCCTCCAAAGGTCTAAGACACTCGAAGGAATTTCTCAAGACTTGTGTTCGAGAAAAGTCAATGTTTTTCGTTAATTTTAAAAAGGACAATCTTCGGATTGTTATGGGCTTTCTAACAGGACTGTCTCCTCAATAAATACCTCAGTAGAGTCCCAACAAGCAAAATTTATTGCTACAACATTGCCAAAACTTCGCAAAGCAAGGTGTAACTTTGATTTTTTCATTGTAGGGAGGTATAGGTATGCAAGGTTGCAGGATAGCTTAATCTTCCGCCAAATAACATAGCAGTGCAAGGTTGAAAAAAATGTTGATGCGAATTTATTGAAACTTTGTCACAACCTCGTGAGAACATTTCACAATATTTCTGAAACGTTGCTAATGTAGCGTTCAAAAAAGTACTAATTTGGGATGTATTAGCAATATTATTAATTTTACGTCAATACAATATTGGTAAAATTATATTGTATCTATATTTCAAAACTTATTATCCATTAAACTTTCTAGTTCGTTATAAGTTATTGCTAAAATAATATAGCAAAAAATCGATAATGTTCGCAATAAAAAAACATGGGATATAAAAATTATTTTTTAATATTTACTTATCAATTTAATGTAACAGTTTTTTCTTGCAAAACATTAGCAATGTTATGTTAACAATAATACATTAGCAATAGGTTATAATCAACAGAAACATTAATGGATATTAAATTGTAGACTTTTAGAAGGGTATGATATCATTTTACTAATATTTGTATTGAGGAAAAACATAAACAATATTGATAAAAATATGCATATCTCCATATCTATTGACTTAGAAAAATTAAAAATGCTTGGTAAATATACCTACTAAAAAAAATAGAAATTTATCACTTACTTGTTTCAGAAATATCAAAAATACTGTGAAGTACTGAGAATTTTTGGCTGCTCATTAAATAAGGAATTACTCAACTCTGACTTTTGTGTTTGATATAATTTCTAAAAAAATCTTAAAGTTTTATGTCTGAAATAAGATAAAATATATAGGTATGGTATAAACATTGTTATTTATTTCTAAATTCTTATTCAAAAATATAAAAAGAAAGTATAACATTAAATATATTATACAAGAAAAAGCAAACATTTATTTTAATTGATTTTTTGGATCTTTCATATTTTGTTTTTGCATGTTGAATTGTCTTATTCATGGTTTCAAATTCCTCTTTGATAATGTTTTCCAATCTATATCCAATCGTTTCTAAAGTAGTAAAAATAAAAAAACAATCAGTTGTAACAAATATAGCATGAGAAACTTACCTCTTGTGATGTTCCTTATTTTAAGTCCTTATTTTAAAAATCTCAAATGATTAACAAATCCAACATTGACAATAATGAATACTGAATATTGTTCGTGATTTTATCATTAGATTAAGAATATATAGGTTTACCCTGGTTTTATCCGTGTTTTATCTATTTCAGTTTTCAGTTTGTTAAAAGCTAAACTAAAATATAAAATTTCCTTTAAAAACAAACAACACAATTTGTTATACTTATTCATAGCTAAGGTTGACTAAGGGTTATTAATACACACATAATAATAAAATTATACTTACACTTATCGTCTCATCATCATTCTTTGTCTATTGTTGGCTATGTAGACCCAATTTATCCTTGCTAATTTCCTAATATTATGGTCCCATCTCAGGTTCAGTCTACTTCTAGGTCTCTTAATTCCTTGTGGGTACCATGCAGTAATTTTTGTGGTCCATAATCTGTTGTTCGTCCTTATTGCCAGGTATCCTGCTCATTGCCATTTGAGGGATTTGATTATGTGGATGACATCTATTACCTGGGTCTTTTGTCGCATTTACTCTTTTCTTTTATGGTCTTTCTTGATTATTCCAAGGTTATTCCCAGCATATTTTGTTCCATTGAAGATTAAGATATTCTCCATCTATTTTTAATCCTTTGTTGGTCCAGTCTAGTTGACAGAAGATTTCTTCTAGTGTTGCTGTAAATAGCTTTGGGGATATCGCGTCTCCTTATCGTACTTCTGTGCTAGTTGGAAACTCTGGGGTTGTTTTATATATCATTTCTCTTGCTTTGGTTTTGCTTTGTTTACTTACTAACTCTGGGGTTGTTTTATATATCATTACTCTTGGTTTCTTTACTTACATTTGTATTCATCAAAATATCATTCAAAAAGCATAGAACGTGATACAAAACACGTCAAAAACAAGTTTAACGTTAACCTAACCTAACTTTATTTATGACTTATGATAAAAAAAAACGGCGTCAGCGGTGGCTATGATTGAAGATCGCTCTCATTTTATATGTAAAATTATATGGGTAATTACAGCTCATATCATACGTTATGAACATGAACTTGCGCGGATCTTTCATTTGAATCTTTGTTGCAATGTTGCAGAAAAAACGTTTTTTATCGCTTTTCAAAAACAATATTTCTGTAGCAAAGTTTCATCAATCACGGCAAAACGTTTACAAATCAACATTACAAAGCAAGCTGTTTGAGGATTGTCTGTAATGTTGCACATGTAATGTGAGGTTTCTCGCTTGGTGGGTTGACGCTAAGAAATAATAGCAAATGCAGATTTTGTGGAGAAAATGGGGAAACACCAGAACACCTCATCACTGAGTGCACAGAGACGACAACCGTTCGTGCCATAAACTTTGGTACGGCTGATGTTGGAGATGGAGAGCTGGTCTCTGTAGAGTCGTCTCAGATACTGGGTTTTGCCAAAGCCCTGAGACTGTATGATGAGTTTTGACTCGTTATAACTCCAGAAAAGGGGATACACAACAGATCTGTAGGGTGGCGGTGATTATTTCCCCTCCTAAACTCTATTCGTTATATTGTCTCATGATATCACTAATAATAAATCGACAATCGACTCCCTAACTCCCTTAAACAACCCGTTTAGAATTATTTAAAAATTAATTTTATATTTAAAGAATAATTTGTGCAATTGAGAGCTGTTACTGAACAAAGTATTAACAATGACAACATTATTTGAGCAAGATCTCAGAATCATTTTCAACTTATGCGATATTAATCACGTATGCGATCTGTTGTCTTATTACTCCAAGAAACCCATACTAAATCTGATGATGAGATCTTAAAAAGGGGGAGAATAAACGGTTTTGAAATATTGTGAGCCACACACAGTCAATTTTACGGTACTGCGACATACATTCGAAGGAACATTGAACACGCACATCTCATTGCTGCTACAACAGACAACAGCATCCATACCGTCATTATTAAAGTTGAAGAAACAACCATTGTCAATGTATATAAACCACCAAATCAACCGTGGCCTACAAACATCCTCCCAGCCTTGAATCATTCAACAATATTCGCGGGAGATTTTAATAGCCACCACGAGCAGTGGAACTATACTGGTAATGATGAAAATGGCATTGTCATAGCAGACTGGGCGGAAGTTAACAACCTTCACCTGATTTTCGATGCCAAA